CACCCCCCCCCCCACGTCCAAGATTCTCTCCTTCTACCTCAATATTCACTCGCGCTCCCTTTGGAGTGCGCGCACACACACACACACACACACACACACAGAGACAGACACACACACACACACACACACACACACACACACACACACACACACACACACACACACACACACACACACACACACACACACACACATACAAGCACACACACAAGCACACACACACACACACAACCTTGAGATGATCTGTGCGACCTCGAGGGCCGACTGCAGGTAGCCAAAGGTGATGCGATCAACGCCGAGGCGTGCCGTCATGTATGGCAGCAGCGGCTGCGTCAGCCAGAAGGAGCAGGCATACATCATCACGTTGAGGTGCAATGCCACGGCGCCATACACGGCCGAGCTGCTTCGCACCTGCAACACATCCTGCAATGAAGGTGCGCGCATTGTATGGGTGGAAGGAGGCGGAGGAGCGCGTGTGTATCGTGTTGTGTGTGTGTTGGCGGTTTCGCTGACTGGTGGTGATCAGTGAGTGGAAATGACGGTTGCGCTGTGATGATGATGATGATGTGGATGTGCCAGCAGTGCTGTGCTGTGTTGTGCTTTGGCTGGTTGTTTACGCCGCTGTTGCTTTTCCTGGGGAGGCATAGGAGCAATGAGGGGAAGAGAGAAGGGGAAGAGAGGAGGGGAGAGAGGGGAGAGAACAAGGCAGGGACAGCATGTCCACCACCTCCAAGCCATACACACACACACGCACACACAAGGCATTATCAGAGGAGACCGTCATGTGAGAGGGCGCGCGCGAGCTCCTTCTCAAACATGTCTAGCCTGTGCGTGTACTTGGCAGACACCCGCAACACGCGTGATACCAGCCCCGCCGCGAGCACGGCTTCGCTGTCACCTTCGCCACTGCTCTGCTTGTCCCTGCTCAGCTTCGCCTGCCACGACCCATCATTCGTCGCTGCTATGCCTTCATCTGCGTCCTGCTGCGGCTGTTGTTGCTGCTGCTGTGGCTGTTCTGTGACTTGGCTGTCTGTGGGTGCTGCCTGCACCTCGCCTGCATCCACGCCGTCCCCGTCATCGCTGCCGTCTGCCACATCCTGCTTGGTGAGCACGAGGTAGAAGGTTGGCTCGGGTTGACTGGCATGTGCCTTCACCGCCTCAACATATGCTCTGGCATCCGCGGCCATAGTCGGTGATGACGCCTCCACGGCGATGAGCGCAACGTCAAACCACTCGGACGCAAACGGCGGCAGCCTCCCTGGCGGCGAGGCATCCCTGTCTTGCCCGTGTGCGCCTCCATCACCACCTGCGACATTGGCCGCTGTCGCTGTTGCTGTCGCTGTTGCTGTGGTCGTAGCTACAGTTGCAGTTGTGGTTGACGGGAGAGTGGGTTGAACCAGAGCGGCAGGCACATCCCACAGCTGCAGGCTGACCTCCTCCTGTTGTGGTTTCGCAGCGTCGTCAGAGGGCTGGAGCCGTGTGTGCTGTTGTTCCTGGTCAACAATGACAGCAGAGCCAGTGCCGGCGATGTTGTGGCTGCTGCTGCTGGTGGCCTTCTTGGCAGCCGGATATGGGAGGGTGGCCAGGAAGAACTGCACGGCGTCTGCCTGTGTGTACGCGTCGGTGAAGTTGCGGCCCTCCAAGCGAGAGGCCAGCACGGTCTTGCCGGCCCCTGCAGGTCCGACCAGCAGCACCTTCAGCACGTTGGTTGCCATGGCCGTGCGCGGCCGCAGCGATGCGTGCACAACAGCTGAGGCTCTCGCAGAAGCCCGCTTGCCCTTCTTGCTCCCGCCGCCACCACCATTCCCGTCACCACTCCGCTTGCCAGCACTATCGGGGGCGTGCCCCTCCTTGTTCTGTCTGGAACCATAGTCGCTGCTGTTGCTGCCGCTCACCGCAGATGGCAAGACTGCGCCAAGCGGCAAGGTGGTTGTCGTCGCCAGCACGACCGTGTCTGTGCTCTGGGCGTCTGCTTCCTTCTCCCGCGCGCCCTGCCCGTGTGGCACGTCAATCACCACCGGGTGGGCGATGGCCGCGGGCGTAACGGGCCGCGTGGAGGCCGGGTCATGGTCCTTGGCCTCTGCCACCTTTGTTGCCGTGCTTGCGCCACACCCCATCCTGGCGTGTTTGTGTTTGTTGTGAATGATGACCTGCTTGCGCTTCTGTTGTCAACGGTTGCTGGCTGCGACGTGTTCCTCGTCTTGTTCTTCAATTGGGTGGTGAATGAAACAAGGCAACGTGCAAGCGTGCAAGCAAAGGAGGGGAGAGGGAGCGGTGCCTGGCGAAGGGAAGCAAACGAGCAAGGCAAAGTCTTGGATGGATTGGGACTACGAGACGAAGCAAACGCGCACAGCAAAGCAGAGTGAGCATGTACAGCAAAGCAAAAGCCGTGTGCCATCAGAAGTCGGAGACGCGGCCCTTGCGCTCCCAGTCGCCATATCGCGTTGGCTCAGGTCCCTTTGGCCCGCCTTGCTCCCCTTCCTTCTGCTTGAGCACCTCGTGTGGGCTTGGTGCCTTAGCCTTCTTGTTATCGCCGTTGCCGTCGCCGTCGTGCTTGTTGTCGTGTTGAGCCTCACCACCACCAGCGCCAGCGCTGCCGCTGCTCCCGTCGCTTGCCCGCAACGTCAGGGTGGAGGATGACAGCCACCTGTGTGTGGCAAGCAACAGCGCCTGCTGCTGTGGCTGTTGCTGTAGGGCGGCAACACCACGTGCCGTGCACAGCGCACGCAACAACCTGGCCATCTTGTTCGTCTGGTGGGTTGGCTCTGGTGTGTTTGGTTTGCTGTTGGGTTGGTGTTTGTATTGGGGGCTGCAATGCTGATTGACATGAGATGATGATGAATGGATGATTGAATGGAGCATGTGGATGGTGTTGGTTGGTCCGTGCCATAAGTGGAGGTGGTGGTGGTGAAAGGGTAGTGCAATGGCATGTTGGACTTGGCTGCCTGGTGGTGGTAGGGGGGGGGATGACTGGGTTCATTTCGCTGCTTGACAACCACGACCACAACCACAGCAAAGGGAACATCAACATCAGCAACAACAGCAACGGCACATGACGAGGTGAACACAGGATAGGGAAGAAGACGCAAAGCAAGCGCTCACATCACACGACGCAACAAAACACGGCTGCACAGCCACACGTACAAACACACGCAGTGCAAGCAAGTACAGATGTGATACAAGGAGCTGCTGGTGGAGAGGGCATGAGGGGTAGATCGACGGCTGAGATGCATGTATGTGTGTTTGTGTGTATGTGTGCAGTGAGTGTACTGCAACAACAAGGAGGTATGGTGGGCTGGTGGGGATGGGTTTAGGACGCGGGTGCGGCCTGGCTTGGCTCGGGCGCAGAGGTGGCGGGACCAGCGTCGGCTGTTGGCAGAGAGGCAAGGGAGAAGGGGAGGGGGGTGTTGTGGGGCGAAGGGTGTAAGGAGTCGGCGTAACGTCGGGAGAAAGCATTGACAAGCAAACAGGTACACACACAGCCACACACACAGCCACACAGCCACACACACACACACACACACACACACACACACATACACACACAGCCACACACACACACACACATGCACACGTATGCACACGCAGGCCACACACACACACACACACACACACACACACACACACACACACACACACACAAGCACAAAAGCGTCATGGTACACACCCTGTCCCTTCTTGTCCTTGCCGCGGAGGGGCAGGTAGAGCTTAAACTCTGCGGGGAGCTCATCTTCGCTGTAGAGGCGGTCGCTGAAGTACACGCGCCGGATGCGGCAGTTGGCGTGGATCTGAGCACACACACGGGGATGGTGGTGGTGGTGGTGGTGGTGGTGGTGGTGGTGGTGGTGGTGATGGTGGTGGTGATGAGGTGGGAAGGTTGGGGTCAGGTGGAGTGGAGCGATGTGGGGTAGGGTGGAGTGATGGCGGTACAAACGTGCATGCACACACACACACACATCCACATACACACACGCACACGCACACATCCACATACACACACGCACACGCACACACACACCTGGACGCGCTGCGCCTCAATGAAGGTGGTGCCGTATGCTCGTCGCGTAAAGTCAGCAAGGTTGAACTGATGAAGGAATTGGCGGCAGCGGCAGCGGGGCATGATGTAAACGACACACGTGAGATGGACAGGTGAACGGCAAAGTGGTTGTAGAGGGTTGGGGACACAGGTACTCGCAACACGCACACACAAGCACACTCAAGCACACACACACACACACACACACACACACAGACACACACACAGACACACTCACACACACAGACACACACACACACACGCACACACACAGAGAGAGACACACACAGAGAGACACACACAGACATATACGCAATCGCGCACCTGGATCTGGTTCCAGCCCTCGTCAAGGCGCATGGGCATGGAGCAGATGAACGGCTTGACGCGTGTCGCGCCCTGGTAGTTTGACGCGCGGAACCGCCGGCTCACGTTCTTGTCATCGAGAACCTGTACGTACAACACAGCATGATGATGGAGAAGAGACGGCAGCGACATTGGTCATGAGCCTTCGGATCTCATTAAACTGTGGCGCAGGGAGAGACAGACACACCGACAGACTGACAGACTGACAGACTGACACACACACACACATACATACATACATACATACACACACACATACATACATACATACACATACATACATACATACATACATACATACATACGTACATACATACATACATACATACATACATACATACATACATACATACATACATACATACATACATACATACATATACATATACACACACTTGCACACACAGACACACAGACACACTTGCACACACACACACACAGACACACACACAGACGCACACACAGACACACGCACCTGTACTTCGAATGTAAAGTACTTCTTCATGTTCTTGACAATCATGACGAGGAACGGCAGCTTGATGCCGAGGGTCTGCTTCTTGTCTGCCGGGCATGTGATGTATGTGGTGCTGACGTTGGTGCCCATGATCTCGATCACCAGCGACTGGATGTCGTCGTCTGTGATGCGCTTGATGTGTCCATTCCGCACCTGCGCGCAGGAAACGGGTGCAAACCATGTGTTGTCATGAGCGTCGCAACCAAGTACAAGCAAGAAAAAAAAAAAAAGGAGGCGCAACGGGGAGTCGCAAAGACACAACGAAAGGCGCAGCGAAGGCGTAACTAACCAATACCCTCCCTCTTCACTCACACACAGAAACACACACACACACACAGAAACACACACACACACACACACACACACACACACAGAGCACACGATGACGACGCTGCCGCAACAACACACCTCCTTGTGCCAGATCTGCAAGGGTTTGCTGCCAATGCTGTAGAGGATGGACAGGAACCCCGACTGGTATGTGTTCTTGAACATTGTGGACGGTGGATTGGTAGATGTACGTGTATGTACGTTGTGTGGCGGGAACAGTTGGAGTGCCGAGAAACAACAACAACAACGGCTTGGCGAAGCTCAATCAAACGTGGGTGTCTTGTTTGCGGTCGCTACGGATCACACGCTGCGTATCACTCAGGATGACGACGTGGAGCTTCTTCGTGGTCTGGCTGACTGGAACTGGTTTGGTGCCAATGGAAACGCTGGTCGATAGCAAGCGAGCGAGCGGTGATATGCGGTGGTGGAGCGGGGTGTTGTGTGTGTGTGTTGGTTCAGCTTGGTTGTCTTGGCGAAAGTGCACACAGCAGCAGCAGAGAAGAAAAAAATACGCCAGCAGAAAGGTTGCCAAGGCGAAAAATATAAGATGATACAACAAATTGTCGTCAATCCGGCTGTTGTTCACTGTTGTGTGCGCTTATGAGCTGTGTTGCTGACGTGAGCGCTTGCGATGCTGTCCATATCCGACCAGGCCACATGTGTTTGTGTGCGTGCGTGTGTGTGTGCGTACTTTGCTGTTTGTTGTTGTTGTTTGGAGAACGCTTGGCTAGGAGTGACCACAGCACGGGGGATGTTTGATGGAAGTGCACTGTGTGGCACAAGAGAACACGTGCAAGCGCACCGACACACACACACACACACACTGACGGCAGTTCATGTAGAGGCGCTTTATCGCGACGAACACCCAAGGCACAAACAAACAAGTGCACGGAGCAACACCAAGCGATCAACATGCGCCATGTGAAGGCATACGCAGTCGTACAGAAACATGAGAAAGAAACGCACGCGGGGGAGGGGTGCGCACAGCAACAATCAACACAAGTTGACATACACAATGCACATATCAACACACACACACACACAATAACACACACACTCTCTCTCTCTCTTTCACGCCTGCACCCACACCCACACCCACCCACACACACCCACACACACACCCACACCCACACACACACACACACACACACACACACACACACATCGGCGTGTCGAAGCTCCCCATACTTTACCACGGTTCTCAAAAAGCTATACTTCAGATTGATTGGGGTCTTCTACGCAGACTTAATTCTGTTCGGTAAGGTGTTGCCTCTAGGTTGTGTGAGCCATCCTTTTCGGTTTTCGTTAGGGCAGTAACGCATGAGCTATCTTAGAGCTGAGCACACCACCACCACCACCACCACCACACACCACACACACACCACCACCACACACACACACACACACACACACACACACACATCAACACATAAACACACGCGCGCGCACGCGTGCTCATTGGGCAGTCCAGCCGCCGTCGAGTGCAATTGCCTGAGCAGTGATGTTGCGCGCATAGTCCGACATCAAAAAGTCGCACGTGCCGGCGAGCTCCTCCACCTCGATGAAGCGACCCTTGGGCATGGGCCGAAGCATGATGTTCTTAATCACCTCCTCCTCGCTGATGCCGTGGAGCTTGGCCTGGTCTGCGACCTGGTTCTCCACAAGCGGGGTGCGGACGTACGCGGGGCAGAGGGTGTTGACGGTGATGTTGCTGTTGCCGGTCTCCAGCGCCATGACCTTGGAGAAGCCGATGAGCCCGTGCTTGGCGGCAACGTACGCGGACTTGCCTGGCGAGCCGACGAGGGAGTGCACGCTGCCGATGTTGATGACGCGGCCATAGCCCTCATCGCGCATGGTGGGCAGGACGGCCTTGGTCAGCGCTGCCACGCCGACAAGCATGACGTCCACCAGCTTCTGCCACTTGTCCATGGGGAACTCCTCCAGCGTGGACACGTGCTGGATGCCGGCGTTGTTGACGAGGACGTTGGGCTTCTCCTGCAGGCCGCGGATCACAGACTCGATGGACTCGACGTTGCCCGCATCCAGCTGGTGCGCAGAGGCGCTGCCGCCCTTGGCCACAATCTCGTCCACCACAGCCATGGCCGGGTCGATGTTGAGGTCCGTGACATACACGTGGTGGCCCTTGGAGGCGAGGAAGGAGGCGACGCCGCGGCCAATGCCGCTGCCTGCGCCCGTCACAAGCACGCGTCTCACAGCGTGTCCAGCCATGCTGCTGCTGTTGATGTTGCTGGTGGTGGTACTGCTTGTGGTGGTGGTGCTGCTTGTTGCGAAATGACACCAGTGACGTGTGGTGCGCGCTTTTGTTTTTGGTGTTGTTGTTGTTGATGGTGTTGTTGAAGTTGTTGTTGGTGTTGTTGATGATGGTGTTGTTGTGCATGTGACGAGACTGTGTGAGAGCTCTCCTCCCTCCTCTCCCTCAACTCATCCTTCCCCCCTCTCCTCGTTCGCTTGAGCTCGAAGGTAGCATGGCATCGTTTCGATGGAAGGGGGGGGGGAGGGTAACAAAGGGGAGAGAGAACGACGGAAGCGGCAGCAAACAGCAGCACGAGCGATGAAGCAGAGGAGCGCTGAGAACGAGACGGGAAGAGGAAGAGGCGACACAAGAGGCAAAGCACGCAAACAACTCGCAATGTGCAGCTATAGGGGACTAATGCCAGTGGTGGAGGGAGAAAGGAGAGAACAGAGAGGAAGAGAGGAGAAGGGAGTTGTTGGTGTTGCAATGGAGGTGAGCAGATAGAGCGGATGCATGAGAGAGGAAAGAGGGTCAACCCCACGCAGGCGTTACAGAGTACTGCAGAGGAAGGCGGTACGTCCCTTTCGCCGTCACGTGCCCATAGAACTGCATGCGGTGTGTGTGTATGTGTGTGTGTGTGTGTGTGTGTGTGTGTG